ATTGGAAGTATGCGGCATTTCTCCCTCATACGCAGATGTATGCATATGCTTGCACTAATGGATGCGCACTGTATATTGACGCCCGGTAATACAGCCTTCGGAAAACATTGCCGAGTGCGCGATCGGGACTATAATGTAACGCGATAGCTGTGAAGAGCTCGTTTCGCAGACATTGCGGCGTTAGCTTCGTCGGTTGCGGGCGAGAAATCGTGACCTTGTCCGTGACCGAAAAAAAAAGGATAAAGATGCAAATAAATAAATAATACGCAAGGGAATAAAAATGAATGAAATAGTGGACGGTCTGGCGAAACCCGCTCTCAGTGGTGCGGTACTTTCAATTATTCCCGCAATAGCACTCATATTACGTGACATATTTCGAAGGCGTGCCATAATTGAAGACTCTGGTCAAACATTATTAACTCACCTAAACGAATATCGACACATCTTGTTCCCTTGGCGTAGGAAGTTCTGGTCAAAACGTGAAGAAGTTATTTTTACGAAACTATGCTGTAGAGTGTCAAAACTAAATTACTAATGCATTGAGCTGGTTTGGCTCCTCCCCCTTTTTTGCTCATTCTGTAACAAGGATGAAACAATCGAGCATTATACTTTATCGTGTACTCGATTAAGTTCACTGAGGAAAAACATTCTTAACGCTGCTTATATTCGAATTAGATTGCATTTCCTTATTTCTAATATTCTCTCCTTGGGAGCCCCCTAATTTGGTCATTGTCACCAGGATATCTGTTCTGCTGTACAAAGATTCTTAATCGAATCAAGGCAGTTTGGATTGAAGATCTCTCAGTTAGTAAAATTTGATTTCTTGTAACATTTTCTTTAAAAATTCATTAGACTTAAAAGTAATATGTGATCCGCTATCTAAATACTCGATTCTTAGCCAATACCCCAATCCCACAGACTGCTTGAGAGCCATTCGTTTAAGCAATCATCATCATCATCATCATCATCATCATCATCAGCATCATCATCATCATCACCGTAGTCGTCGTCGTCGTCGGCATAATTGTCGTAGTCTTCATCATCATCCTCATCATCATCATCATAATCATAAAAAATCTTAGGCTCGGGTGAGAATCGAACTCGGAAACTAGGTAGGAGTTAGAATAGAACAAGAGACGTTGGCGGATACAGATTGTAGTAATCAGAGAGGGCCTATGCATGGGCGGTGCTGTATCTATACATACTGTTTTCTAGGTTTTATCCATCTACTGTTTTCATACAAATAGCATGTGCGATCGCGAATAAAACATAAGTGTCAAGTTAGAGGTGTGTATCTGTGTGTGTCTCTCCTGTGCCCTTGTCGTGGTGCTCTATATAGCCATATTAGTGATGAACCCCTACCGAATAGCCCGGCAACGTGCCTTAGCAGATATACCGGGGCACGTGTCACAGCATAACCAACCATACTTCAATAAGATGCTTTAAAACAAACACTAAATAAATATATTTGGGGTTGGTGTACCTCGAAAAAGTCGATAGGCTACAATCGCTATTTTTCTGTTCACCGGTTGCTGCCTTTCATACACACTCCATGGGGATCAACTACTAATCTGCAACGGCACGTCATCATTGTTTTTTTTTTTCAAGCACATTCCTGAGAACAAAAGAGAGGGCGATTTCTTTTTCTTTTTTTCATGCGTGTCAAAAGAGCACCACTACATAGTCAGTATATGTTACATTGTCTGGCGACATGTTGAAACGCTTTGGTTTTTGAGTGCACGATTTAGTCCTGACTTTAAAAAATGGCTGTTAAAGGTCATCCAATCGACTATCCTAGAGTTCAAGGTTAAAGTTTGCTGCTTTCGACATGATATTTTCCACTCGTGTCATCTCTGAATGCAAAGTGCTTCACATGTGTAATTATAGCCCCGTGTATCTAATGCAACACCCCGTAGACGCGTGGTACTTTCTATACAGCTTCAGGACACTTTTTAATAGCTTCGTTGTTATGATCAGCATGGCAACAGTGGAGCGTGTGCATGTAGGTTAAGTAAGGTTATGTTAGGATGTGTGGTATGTAAATGATTTTTTGCTGAAACTATCGTTCAGTGGAATCAACTATCATGTGCGCACTTGTGCGGGGCTGATGAAGATGATATTTAGTTTTTGCTTGCAGCACCTCTGCCGTAACGCTTTCAGGCGAAGCGGTGTAATATCTGAATAATGAGTAAAGACCTAAATTACGTTTCACCGGATTACGCTATATACTAGGAACACGATACGATGCAATGCAATGAACCACACGCTGGGTCCACTTTGCTGCGATTCTTACCAGTGACTGTGGCGAATAAGCAATCGCCGGCGAAAAAAAAAAAAATCATAAAGAACATCCTCCGCCAAGGGCTTCAAAGTTGCCTATGGCTAGGACTATCTATAACGAAAATTCGGCATAAGAAAACTAAAACTATGACGACAGCGGAGCCGCGTAGCAACTAATTGCGCGCGTGGCAGTAGGGCATTGCGGCAATAATTTCGTACGGTAGTTCTTTTTTGCTCGAAGTCTAATAAGTAGGAAAGGATTCGCTCCGTGGAAAATTTTTCGAACGATTATAAGCGAACGAGGTGAAGGACCAAACAGAAACTGGCGAAGCGAGCAAGCCGAAATGAAGAGAGCTCGAGAGGAAGTACGGCGCAGCAGCCAGGGAAATTAAACAGCCACCAATTTCAGCGCACTCCTCCCTCCTAGTACGCCTAGTGTGAGCACCGGGAGGTGAAGGCGCAAGTATGGTATGAGGGCGAGGAGGTGAAAGTTCAAAGGGAGAGGGCGTACTTCGGTTGTGGAGCCGAGGCCAATAATTACGTAAGAGCCACACGGTGGCGCTGCCCGCGAGCGGGAGGTCCAAAAGCGCGCGCGAGCACGCGAAACGATACGAGTTCGCCGAAGAAAAAAAAAAGAAAGAGCGATGAGAGAAAAAGCGCGCCAAGAGAAGTGGCGGGAAAAAAAGTGCGCCAAAAGGAGCACTCAGATGGCGAAAAAAAAAAAAGAGAAAAAGGCGAATACGTGGGAATGCCAGGAGAGGGTGCCGGCGTCGCTGTTCGGGCCGATATAAGCGTGCAGCGAGCTAGGCCTACGCGAGGACTGAGCACTTCTCTCTCTCTCTCTCTGCCTTTCTCGCTAGCGCTCTATGGTTGCAGGGAACGTGTATTTTTCTTCTTAGTAGTCCTTTGCAGCGTCCTTATTTTCGCTTGGTTCTAAAGAGATAGATAGAAGGCAGCAAAAGGTCGACTATTGCGAGGCTTGCGAGGGAAAAAAAAAAAAAGAGGTTGAGGGTGCGTGTAGTGGAATCTTAGGAAAAGGGCGAGGGTTGAAATCATCTCTACCTCTCGCTCACACTAACAGCAGCAGCAGCAGGTTTCGGTCGTCGGCTGTCACTCCGGGGCCGCAGGCAATAACACGTCCCGAGGAACTCCGGGGGCCCGTGGCCAATTTCGCGCTCGAGCTTTCGACTAAACCTTTGGGCCAAGATAGAGCTGCGGCCCCTGCTGGTGCGCAGCTAGAGATTAAAGACGAGACGGAGAAAAAAATAAAAAAACGGAAAAATAATCAAGAAATGGTAGAAAACTTACGGGATCCCGACCCCAGAACGGAGGAGGGGTCGCAGAATGCGGGGCGCGCGCAATACCGGTGGGAAATAAGAAAGCAATAAGCATCCGAGTGTAGGAGAGGATGTGGGTAGGCACAAATAAGAGAGAAGGAAACAGAGAACAAAACTAATAAGAAGAACAGAAAAGAGGATAACGCGCGATGCACGGGATAAGTAAGACGCAAGTTTGGGACTAGAAGATCTCGAAAGTTGGAATGGCAACGGGACCCCAAACAGTGGAATTAGTCGGGCACCATTCCAGTGCTTGGTTGAGCAGTGAAGAAAGAAAAAAAAAAATGAAAGCGACAGTGCAGGGCTCACGTGATTGTTACTGACCGGTCGGTAAGGTGGCAGAAGCTGCCCAGGATACGCATGCGTCGAGTGGCAACGCATGGGCACCAAGCATCCGTGGTAGAACTGCGTTGTCAGCAATGCCCTGTACATGAACGCTAAGGAACTTGCTGAGCTTTCCCTGACTCTTATCAGTTAGCCGATTTTCGACACATCGTCACTCTCATTTCTTTCGTTCAATAAAAGTTGTGGACCTAATTGCAAATCAATCAATCAAGAAATGAAATGAGCACTTCCTTTTCGTTGATAAAAGTGAGGGCATGCTTTCTTTGTTCGCATGGTTGGCAAAAGAGAACTAACATATGCTAAGGCACCGATTAACATAAAAACAGATATATGTACATGTTTAATTTCACATGAGTTGGGACATTTAGTAAGATATCTGAATTGCGAATGAAAGAGTACAGACAATATCCATGCCTGGTGAATTAACATTAGTATTAATCTCCTACATACGAAACAAACAGTATGCAGCTGGTGTTATCTTAAGACCAGCAACTGGCGAGTTCCTTACAGTGAGCAACGTTTGTTCTATGACGTTCCATTTGGAGCAGACAAAACTAAGGCAGTATCGGAGTGATGATCGATCAAGCTGACAAGAAAGGATTTGTCACGGGTGTCCGTGGCATTGAGAGTGAGTGCTTTACAGATGTCTTTAGTATTGTTACGGAAGAGACATCATGCATGTAGCAGTATGATGCTTATCACGCGAATGCTGCAATTGATATGTTTAGTGGAACTGATTGGAGCGTAAGTTGCAAGCGCATTGTGGGTTTTGAGGTGTGCAGAAATACGCAGTAAGTTCGTTCTACTCATGGAACTTCGACAGGGTGGTTCCTAAACTATGCGGGTATGAAATGTTGAACGTTCAAACAATTCTTTTAAGGGTCACAATGATGACAACGCGCTGTGCTCAACCGTAAAAAGTGCTCCTCAAAGCAACCATTACTGAGGTTTTCGTTGCCGTGTCTTAAAATTACGAACGGGCGGTCAAGTACGAGAATCATGTCTAAGGTAGCAAGCGACAAACAGAGGCACACACACCTGGGGATGGTTGTGGCGCCATCTGGCGTGCGTCGTCTCGCGATTAGCACGGTCCAGCAGAGCACGCTCTCGTGACGTCACCAACATTGATCGAAAGGCGGCGCCCCCTGTCTCAGAGGACCGCTACACGAAGCACCTGCAACGTCAATTGAAGGAATGAACTTGAGATTAGAGATCACTGAAATCTACGTACGATTACTCATGATCTTAAACAAAACGCGTATGTATCTGTGTACTCCGCCATATGCAAGAACTTGAGTTATCCTATTTACAACACTTCAATTGTTCTTGTAGCGATCACTTGGGGTCACCGAACGGAGCCTAATGCTGTGGAGATATCAACACACATAGTGAACTTCTGAGTGTCTGGAAAAGCCACCATTGACGTCAGATCATGTTGTGTGTGTATTTTGCTCTACTTCGTTGTCTTCAAGCGCACCTTCCGAACAACCGATAAGTTGGCTGAATGATCGTGACATCACCCAAAGTTTGCTGTGATTAACTTTACTTTTAATATTCGAACATTTCATACAGAGGAGGACTAACCTTAACGTCTACGAAACATCCATTTCTGGAATTTTTCCATACTGTAAGGTTAAATTTATATGTCGTAGCTCTTATAAATATTTGAACAGGTGTCACTTTTTCTTGTGTCGACATAATACGTGAGAAATTCTTGGCACACAAATAATGCACCGTCTACTCTTGAGCTCTTAGCAGAGTGTCTAGTAGAGCAATTATGGTCAAATTTCTAGGAACAAAAAAAAATACACACACAAATATCAAACAATATACAACCTAGCACAACAGCGAAGACATAGCACAACAGCTACAACAACATATTTAACAATCACATACATTTGTGCACGCGAGGATGTAAAACAAAGCGACTAAATAGCTGAAGAGCCAGCACTTTCTGCCCCGAGCTTCCTCCTTTATAAATGTTAAATTTAGCGATTCTGCGCAACGTGAGGTAAACTAACGTTGCTTCTGTGAATGAAATATTCGACGTTGAAACTGTGAACAATTTTATGAGATTTAATCATCCGCTTTCAAATAAACTTGGGCTGAACGATTGTCGGTATTATACTAGGAGTTGTGAAATGAGCCTAAAAAAATCTTCAAATTGCGTGTTCTTTTTCGATACTATCCTCTGGTTCCTCTTGCAACGCGACGTTTTTACGAGAGCAAGGTTGAGTCCTCATCGGACTTTTTCTGTACATTTGCCGTCGGAGTCTAGCTCTTAAGTGTTACGCAAACATAACGGGGTCAGATCTGTGCCAACAATGGTATTGATTACCTGTGCGATTCGGTGCAGAAATAAAAAGATTGGTATGGGAGCTCGATAAGTATGTTTGAGGGGGGGGGGACGTGAACCTTATTTAACACATACTACAAACATCGACAGCTAGAGTGATACACACAGTGACCAAGCGAAACCCTTCGAAGGGAGTTAATTGCCTATAGAGGCGCATTTATAGGTTACTGGCTGGTGTGTTCATTGCTGGTGTAAGACACGAAAAGGCGACCTTGTTCATTCAGCAAAGCTGGAATCGACAAACGTTATTTTTTAGCGATGAAAGTGGTGTGATTAGCAGTAAGGGAAAGTTCTTGCCATCGACTCATTCTTTTATTTTTTTAGTTTCTTGGTTGCATTGATTTGATTGATTGATTGATTGATTGATATGTGGGATTTAACGTCCCAAAAGCACTATATGATTATGAGAGACGCCGTAGTGGAGGGCTCTGGAAATTTCGACCACCTGGAGTTCTTTAACGTGCACCCAAATCTGAGTACACGGGCCTACAACATTTCCGCCTCCATCGGAAATGGAGCCGCCACAGCCGGGATTCAATCCCGCAACCTGTGGGTCAGCAGCCGAGTACCTTAGCCACTAGACCACCGCGGCGGGGCACTTTTTTGGTTGCAGTCGCTCTCGCTGGACGAAGTGATGGGAAATCCTTAATTAAAAAAAGCCGATGGAGTCATTAACGTAGCGAGGGGGCAGAGGGAGGGAAAGGGAGGGGGGTGTACAACACCATCCTTCCTCTAGAAAATTTTAATTTTGCATGTTTTGCATACACACACGCGCATACGAACACACGCCCTAACGTACGTAAAAGTTGGCAGCACTCGGGATGCACATTCCTTCGTCGGTTCTCGTTCTTCCGCGCGACGCCGACACGCACGCTAAGTCATCTCGCCCAAGGTGAAACGGTAATGTTTCGTCGGAGGTACATGTCGCTCACAGCGGAGCTGTCTGAGCTGGATGTTGTGAATGCATGTTGCCGGATGTTATGAATGGCGTTGGCAAAAACTGCGCCGAGCCGCGACGCCACCGCGCACATCCACGCCCAGCTTCGCAACGCCGGCCTGGTTATGCCTAGACACGGCAAGCCGAAACAGGAACAAGTATAGTATAACAAGGCTGTGGGAAAGGGAATGCACTTCGAGGAGGAAACAAAGGAGGACAGAAGAAGGTAAAGCACTGCACAGCCATGTATAGTATAATTTGATAAGGGAATGGGAAAGGGAAGCGAGGGTGAGAAGGTGTGGTGGAGAGAGTAGAACATAGTAAAGCCTTGTACAGTAGGCAGGGAGGTGAGGAAGAACAAAAAGGGTTGAGGGCGAAACATACCACATATATATATATATATATATATATATATATATATATATATATATATATATATATATATATATATATATATATATATATATATATATATATATATATATATATATTGTACCGAAGCATAGTGGCGCCAGCTCTGTGCCAGCGTGAAAGAAGACGTTGACGTCCGTGTGTGGCTCGTGCTTGCCGGGTTCCTGCCTGTACCAGCTTGTTGCGGCTAACGTTTCTGGAATAATAACCTGTGTTTTTACGCAACCTTGCTCGTTGCATTTGGTGGAAACGTGCTGGGTAACGTCCTGGAGCTCCGCAGCCGTAAGCTACCATCTCAGTCCACGATGACCGAGCGCGTCGATCCCCCACAAGGCTCTTCCACGCTGCCACCCATCATGTGTTCTGGTGTACTTCGTCTGCGTGACCCACCAGTATACAACGGCACTGAAGATCAAGATGTCGAGGACTGGCTGGCAGAGTACGAGCATGCCAGCGCGATTAACAAGTGGGATGACCCTGCGAAGCTGATTCACGTCATCTTCTACTTGACGGATTTGGCCAACCTATGGTTCACCAACCACCAAGCCGACATCCCCACCTGGTCGGTTTTCAAAGAGGCCGTCACCTCGTTTTTCGGTCGTCCAGCCATGCGTAAGCTTCGCGCTGAACTGGGACTGCGGGGACGATTTCAGCGAAACGGTGAGAGCTTCACAAGCTACATTGAGGATGTGATCAGCCTCTGTAGGCGAGTTGATGACAGGATGACGGAGGCTGACAGAATAAAGAACATAATGAAAGGCATTGATGACGACGCTTTTCATATGCTTGTGGCCAAAGACCCACAGACCGTCACGGCCTTGATTCAGTTATGTCAAAGTTTCGATGAGCTGCGCAAGCAACGAGTTTCTACACGTCGCGCTAATACGCAGACAGCTGATATTTCGGCCTTGGAGTGCAAAAGCAGTGGCCCCGACTACAGCGTGTTAATGCCTCAAATTCAACAGTACATCCGGGAGGAAGTTGCTCGACAGCTCTCTCTTGTCGCCACCATCAACGAGACCCCCACAACACTGGACCACTCACTTCGCCGTGCTATTCAGACGCAAGTTGCCGAGGCTCTCCCTTCGCCCACATCCCCAATATCAGTGGCTGCACCGCTGACTTATGCAGAAGCCGTCCGCCGACCTTCTGCCCAACCGCCGCTCCCTTCATACAGTCCAGCCACCAACTACTACAGGCCACCAGTTTCAGTTTATCCGGTAAATCGGCCCATTCCACCACCTCGAGCACCTGCCAACTCTTGGCGTACTCCGGATAACCGGCCCATCTGCTACAACTGTGGTATTCCAGGACATGTCGCGCGCTATTGTCGTCGCCGTGGGTTCTATTTTAATGATGTGCAGCATTCCGGCAACATACCTCGGCCATCAGAGTCGCATGTGACACCTGATTCGCATGACCCCCGCTTACGTCGACCAGACTTCAGCCGACGTCGATCTCCTTCACCCCGTCTTCGGTCTCCTTCCCCCATGCTTCGCCGTTCCAACCACGCCCAGGAGGAAAACTGACAGTCGCAGTTCCTGAGGCAAGAGCTGCGCCACCGACGAAATTTCGAAGGCCTCATCTATCGCCCCCTAACGAGATTGCCGTGTTTGTGGACGGTTTCGCCACAACTGCTCTTGTCGACACAGGTGCCGCTATTTGTATAATCAGTGATGTGTTATGCCGCAAACTGAACAAAGTGACGACTCCACTGGTTGAAATTTCTTTACGCACGGCGAGTTCGCAACACGTCCAACCATCTGCCACATGCACTGCTCGTGTTGTGATTCAAGGAGGGCTTTACATCGTAGAATTTGTCGTCCTTCCGCATGCGTCTCATGAAATCATCCTGGGATGGAACTTTCTTTCCGCTAATCATGCGGTTGTCGACTGCGCTCGTGCTCAACTCGTTTTGTTTCCATTCAGCACGACATTCATTGATCTCCCTCGCTCACCCAAAAAGGTGATCGTCGCCGCTGACGTCGTCATTTCTGCTTTTTCGGTCACCGCGGTATCTCTTTTGTGCAACTCCGTTTCCGATTCAACTGCCCTATTTATGCCGTCACAAGAATGCGCTCGTCGCCGGAACCTTGTCGTCCCGTTTGCCGTCATAACACTTGCCGATGGCTCCAGTGCCGTGTACGTGTGCAATCCGTTCCCTTGTCCCGCTACCTTATTGCATGGCGAATGCATTGGGAGTCTTGACACTTATGATGACATCTTTTCTTTCGATGCCCGTTCTGATACGACACCGATGTCCGTGGATGCTGTCACAGCTGGCACCGCGCCCTCACTACCTGACGAAGACGTTCTGTTGCGCAGCGTAGACACCGGCCTTACGCAAGACCAGCGCAATCAGCTCATTCAACTACTTGACCGTTTCCGCGCCTCCTTCGACCACGGACAACCTCCCTTGGGACGCACGTTAGTTGTCGCTCACCATATCGACACCGGTCATCATACTCCA